GCGCCCCATGGACCATGGAGGGCCCCAAAGTTCGCGTGACACACATGGGCCAACTTACATCGGCACTGGAACAGACGCGGGCTAATCATATAGAAACCGTTCGCACCTTCCACGAAGCCCGAAGTGATCAGCAGCCCGCAACAGCCAACTCTGACCCACCGACGGGGGCGTCTGGGAGAAGCCGAGAAGTCGAACGCGAGGAGGGAACCTGGGGGGCGCTCGAGGCAATTCGCGAGCCTTGCGTAGCAGTCCAACCCAGGGATATCGTTCTGAATCAGGGCTCCGATTTCTCGGTGACCTCGGACCGCCCTGCGTCGGCAATGGCAGCGGCGACCTCGTTTTTTATCGGGCGGCGCGCTTCGCCGCCGATCTGGTCGCCCCCTTCAAGGGCGCTCTTTGGATTGAGGACCGAGATAGAGGGCGGAGGGGGAGAGGCATGGAATGGGCCCGAGAGAGCCAATGGAAAACCTCCGCGAGAAGTTGTGGCCCGAGACCCTGGGGCCACGCCTCGTGCCCAGGGCCGCGCGGGCCAGGCCCCGCGACGGGGGCTCGCCCCGCAGAGTTGCGCAGCCTCGGCGCGGGGGCGCGGGGGGCCGAGGGGGTCGGAAGTGAAGCGAATGAAGCGTGCTCGAGATGCCGGGGGCCCCCCTGCCTGGGCCTGGCGGTGCTTCTCAAAACTCTGACTTTTGCATGCGCTCGAAGCTTCGGCCCGGGCTGCAGCTGGCGAAGCGCCCCCCCCCCCCCCCCCATCTGGCAGCTGGCGAAGCGCCCCCCCCCCCCCCCCCATCTGCTCCCCCCATCAGACCTCGGGGCCTCTGCCGGATACCTCCTCGCACTGAGTGATGCCGTGGGCCTGCGCCGCTGCGCCGCTGCGCAATGGCGCGGGGCCGCCCCCTGAGGCGCGCCGCGGGCGAGCCCGCGCGCGCACTGCCTGCCCGGCGAGCGACGCGCGGGCAGCGCGGCACTCCTGGCTGCGGATGTCTGAGCGGGCCCTCTGAACGAGCCTCGGGAGAGAGATCGCGGAGGGCCGCGCGCCCGCTGCCGCGCCCCCCGCGAAGCGCGAGCGAGGGGGGCCTCGCCGTCGGACTGGTCTCGCCAACGAACGCAAAAGCACAGCGCGTAACTCGCGGCGCCCCGCGCGCGGGGCCAGCCGGCGGCCTCGAACGGCGCGGGCCGCGCATCTCCGAGCCCGAACCGCCGTGGCCAAGTCACTTGGCGCCTCGCGCTGGCCCGCCCCGTCGCGGGCCCCGCATTTTGGAACGCAGCGGCCGAAGAGGGTGTCGGAGCGCATGGGGCGAGGGGGGCAGGGCGCGCTCGCGCGGGTCGGGGCGCCCGACTGGCCGCGAGACCGCCGTTGGCGAGTGGTCGGAGATCTCGGCCCTGAACAACTCCGCATGATATCTCGCGGCCGATCAAATCTGGCAGAGCATCCGAAGCGACGTCGCCGCGGAGCGCCGATCGATCCGCGACTCGGCGGGCGCCCCGCCATGAAGGTCGCCGACGCGCGCGGGAACGTGCTCTGCCGGCTGCCTGGAAGTAGCCATCCACGGTCTGGTGCCCGATTGCTGCTGTCGCTCGCCGGATGACATCGCGGAGGCGCGGGGGGTCGCGGCCCTCGAGGTCGGATGGCGGGCGGGCCGGCGCATCTCATGGCTGGCAGTGGCGGAGTCAGTCACGCCCATCGTCGATGTGGAAGTCACCGGCCAAGAGCAAACTTGCCGCGGACAAGGCAATTACCACCGGCGCGTATTTCGCAGGGGCGTCGGCGTGAACTGAATGGAAGTCATCTGCGCCCAGATCGAAAGTACGGATATTCCAGCGGCGCCGCCGAAGCGGAGACGGGCGAGGTATAATCTCCAGCATCAGGGCCCGCGCAGGAGCGCGCGCCTTCGAGGCGGCGCGGGGGTCTCTGAGGGCGGCGCCGGGGGCGCAGCGGCGCGCTCCACGGGCGCGGCCCAGCAGGAAGCGAATCGACAACTTCAGAATCGCAGCCAATCCGCCTCTAAAGTCCCGAGACCACATCGCCGAGCCCGTGGGCCGCAGAAGCGTCGGGCAAAGTCCCGAGGGTCTCTTCTTCCTTTGCTGGCGACTTCGGCTGGTGATGGCGAAGGGCCCGTGGGGCCCTAGATCCCAAGGCTATCCGCTCCAGGCCCCATGCGATGCTGCCCGCTCCACTGAATTTGCTGGGCTGGAACAGGGGGCGCGCGGCACCGGCGAGGTCGGCCTTCGCCATGTGGATGCCGGCGAGGAGATAGGTGTTCCATGGCGCTCTGGGCGGTTCGGTTGGGCCAGCGGTGGCTGTGCCATGCAGTTCCCATCCCACCGCGATAGCGCCTGCGTCGTAGTCCGAGAGGATCCAACGGCCGAGAAACTCAAATTCAGAAGTAGCCTTCCTGCTCATTGCAGCGCGATCCATCGCGATCTCGGAGCGGTTGCGGCCGACTCCCACATGAAGCCGGACGCCGCACTGTCCAGGCATCTCTGCGTGGAACTGCCTCCGCGCACCGTCGGGTCCACGCCGATGGCCGCGAGCCCGTCAGACCCGCGCCGCCGCGGTCGCAGCGAGGCCCGTGAACCTGACGACGAAGCGCAGGCCAGGGGATCACCCTCCACGTTGTAGTCTTCTCCGCGCGTGTAGCTGGCGCCACTGGGCCATTCGCGCAATCCCGACGCGACGGCATCGCGCCCGACGTCTTCCTTGGCGTGGACAACGCAGACGACTGGGTCGGTGGCTCGCGACCGCGTCGGCCGCCCGTGAAATCGAAACTCGCGGAGCCGACTTGGCAGAGTCGGGTTCCGTCTCCAGGCGCTCGAGTCGGGCCTCCAGCGCCCCCCGCGCCTGAGCATGGGCCTCCACCTTTGGATCAACTTCTCGGTTCGTCGAACCTGTGGAGCAGAAGCTTGGCGACTGAGGGACTCTGTTGGGTGGCCAGAGGCTGAACGGCAGACACACGCAGTCGTCTCATGGGCCTTCGCTGGGAGCGTGCGCTGGAACACTTCGAACCCCTGGTAAGACCGCCAAGCCGCGGGTCGAATCGTTGACAAGGGGCCTGGCATGGGGTAACACTTTCGGCTGGCTGTGAGCTGGGCTGGCCGCCGCGGGGAGTCGGCGGCACCGTCATCCGCGCCACCTGAGCCACCCCATCGGCCAACTATGCGATGTTGAGGGCGAGCACCAGCAGGAGCCACGCGCGCAACAGGGTGCTGGTCCATGGGGCGCCGCGAAACCAAAGTGGCTCGCTTTCCTTCCCACCCGCCCCCCAGCAGGGCATGGTGAGGGAAGAGTCGACGCCTCGAGAGAGGCAGCCACGAAACCAAGGTCGTCAGACTCGAGGGCGTCAGCCTGCCCTCCTGGATGGACAGGGGACCGATGGCCCCTCTCACTGCGGGACCGTTGTCCTGGAGTGCGCTCTCGCGGTGGCTCACGATGAACAGGAGCGCGACCCTTGGACCGAACACGAGGCCCGGAAGTGGCAGTAGGAGTCGAGCCAAGGTTGGCCTCCGACATGGCCTCTGCGTCTTGGTCGCGACGCGGTTGGCCAGGAGGCGCCGACTCGCCGTCCCTGTCGTCTTTCCTGCTCCTGCTGCCCTTCTTGCTGCGCGCATGGTGAGTCAGGTGGCGCCGACCCCCCCCCCGAATTGTCCTAATTTACCCGGAAAGGCCAGCGCCAGTCGGCCCGTGACGAGAAAAGGATGCCTCCCGCACTGGTGGGAGGGCGTGCCTCCGACGGGGGCGCGAAGAAGCAAAGCCTGGCCGCGGACTGGCCGTATCCAGTCGGGGTCCCCCTGGGGAACTGTGCATCTTGAGCCATCGTAGCCACGGAGGGGAGCTGGGGAGGAGGATGGGGAGGGGAAATGGGAGTGGGAAGAGAGAGAGAGAGAGAGAGAGAGAGAAAGAGAGAGAGAGAGAGACCGTGTGTGTGTGTGTGTGGATTCTTGTGGTGTGAGGGTACGAGGGGAAGAACATGTGCGAACATGTGCCTCTCACCCGTCGCGGATCTCCATATCGCGCGGCCAACCAACTATAATTGTGTACTTTTTTTTTCTGTGCGTGTCCATAGAAATGCGCACTTCGAGTAACAATGTGCAATGCTTAACTCTATATATATATATATATATATATGCATATTTGTTTGGTCTTATATGCTGCATTCTGTATCGTGCGGCCGTGAAGCTGGTGACGCAGTGTTTTGTGCGCTTGCGTTTTCTGATGAGAAGATCGCCGAGCAGAGCCACAGGCAGACTACGATATCATGTCTGATGGCGGGGGCACACATGCAGCTGGGTTCCGGTCTCACGCAATATCTACTTAATTCGCTCACTCTGGTGGCGATCGCCGACCACTCGGCGCATGGTCATGTGGCGTCCACCATGTGTTAACATTGACAGCGCCATCCTTTAGATATATGCCAGCGTGCATAGCTTTGCCAGCCGTAGTGCGTCGCTCTGAGCACCACGCGCCTGATGCATGAAATACCATTCAATGGCGCAATCGGTTGAAAAAGGGACGAACTAGACTGAAGGGGGCAGAGATGAATGAAGGAAGACGATAAAGAAAATGAGGTCGATGGGGCCAGTAATGGAAATGCCTGCGGGAAACGAAACGGGGAAAAGCTCGGAAACTGTGGCTGCGCATCGATGTGACGCTCGATCCTTCGTGCCAGCAAGGTGGGGACACTTGGAGTCACCGATTCAAACAGCGCCACCTTGCATGCAGCACGGGGTGGAAGGGAGGGGAGGCGGGAGGGAGGATCTGAGTGATGAGGGGGAGCGTGAAGGGGGGGGCGGGATAAGGGTTAGTGATGATGATGATGGTGGTGATGACGATGCTGATGATGATGATGATAATAAGGATGATGACGATGGCGATGATGCTGAGGATGCGGATGATGATGGTGATGACGATGGTCGTGATAGTGATGGTGGTGATGCTGATGATGATAATGATGTTGATGCTGATGAAGATGATGACGAGGAGGCGGAGGAGGTGGAGGAGGTGGGAGGAAACATGAGGGAGGATGAAGGAGGCACGCGTTTAAACAGTGCCTCCACGCATACAACGCGAATTTGTCGGACATGGCCCACTGTCTACCCCGCCCCTCCCCGCCGGAGGCTGGTCAACACGGCCTCCCATCCACGCCCTCCCTCCCCCCGTCTACGATTACACATTCTAAATACTACGCTCCTCTCTCCCCTGGCTCCGCCCAGAAGATAGCCGATCCTCTCCCAATTTAGTTTTTTTTTCGCACACACACGTTCACACACACGGAATTGGGCAAACGGTAATACTTCCAATGCTTTGTGAGCAATCCGATTGTTCTAAATGTTTTAGAATGGCGCTCATGTTGCAACTTGGAGCTCGTTTTCGGATCGGCGTTTTGCTCCCGTCGTTGAGAATGGCGCTCTCGCCCCAGCGTGGGTCACTTCCTTTGACCCGACTATTTTTTACCGTTGTCGCCCCCTTCATTTCCCCTCATCGGCCTTCCCCTGGTCCTCCTTCTTGTCTCGCTCCTTCAACCCCAGCTCCTGTTGCTGCTGTTCGTTCTCGTCGTCGTCCTTCCATATCCTTCTTTTCCTCCTGCACATCCTCCTGCTCACCCACCACCTCCTCTTCCTATGCACGCAGCTCCGCTTTCTTCTCAGGTTGCGCAAAATACGATGGAATCTTTCCGTTGCAGTTCCAGGTCGGCTATGACGCGCGTCCGCGGATATAGAAAACATCGGCGCAACAGGGGAAGGGATGGGGGGAATGGGATGTCATATGTGGCGCGAGCGCACCTAGTTTGCCTCTTCACCCTCTTCTCATCCCTCTTTCACTCTCCCTGTCCCTCCTTTCCGCTCTCTCTCCCCCCCTTCTCTCCCTCTTGTCTCTCCCCCACTCTCTCGCGCTCTCCTCCCTCCCCCCCCCCCCTCCCCCACCCTCCCTCTCCCTCTCCCTCTCCCTCCCTGCCCTCCCCCTGCGTGCCTCCTTCCCGCTCTCTGACCCGCACCACCACGTATGGCGACCTTCTGAGGTGGCTGACGCAAGCCGTCCGGGCGGAACGTTGCATGGAGAGGAAGGCGTTTACGCACGACCTCACGCGGGCAGCTTGCGCGCGAATGTCGGCGCGGACGGTCCTTTGTCTTAATCGGCTCTTCGAGGACTAGGGCCTAAGACTTTGGGTCCTCATGGGAGGAGGCCCCTAACAATACAAACTCGGCCCACAAAATTCGCCCTATCCCCAGGGATCTATCCCGGAGGCTCCCGTTTTTTAACCCACAGCGTAAGAGTCCCCCAACCCCTCCCCTTCCTCGCCCTCCCTCCCGCCGCTGCAGCTCGCTCGTGACATGGACGCCCCCGAGCGCCTACATTCATTCATTCACTCTTTTCCTCCCGTTCCTTCCCTCCCTCCCCCCTTTCCTCCTCCTCCGCCTCCTCCTCCTCCTCCTCCTCCTCCTCCTCCTCCTCCTCCTCCATCCTCTTCATTCAAAATAACTCCTCCCTGTCGCACCCCGAGACGGGTCGGTAGGGCGGGCTGGGCGTTTCGGCGGCGATTTCCTCAACATCTACGATTCTCAAACTTGAATTCTGCAAGCATCCCACCAACACTTTCGGGCGTAGGTGGTCTAGGGTGTTTCGTCTTCCATCTGCCCCTATTCCCCTTCGGGGAGGGGTTCATCACCGTTCCCTCGAAATATACACCCCCTCCCCCAGGCGACTGGGAGCCAGCCCAAGTCCATGCGGGCCCCCCCCCACCATCCCTTGTACAACAACAATACAAAACACATTCTGCCCCCACCATCCCTTATCCCTTACAACAGAAAAACACAACACACTCTGTCTCCAAATCCTGAGCATGCGCAGCGAACCCGATCCGGCCTCACCCCACCATCCCTGTCCAAAAAACACTCCAGAGTACACGTGGCGGCGGCGGCGGCTGCGGCGGCTGCGGGGGCAGCGGCTGCGGCGGCTGCGGCGGTGGCGGCGGCGGGGGCGGCGGCGGCGGCGGGGGCGGTGGCGGCGGCGGCGGCGGCGGCGGTGGCGGCGGCGGCGGCAGCGGTGGCGGCAGCGACTGCGGCGGCAGCGGCTACGGCGGCTGCGATTTGGCAGCGGGGGCGGCGGCGGCGGCGGCGGCGGGCAGCGCGGTGGCGGCGGCAGCGGCGGACAGCGGCGGCGGCGGCGTCGGCGGCGGCGTCGGCGGCGGCGGCGGATTGGCTCCCAGTAGCTGCCCATTCAAAGACGACTGCTGCATAGTCTGCGGCTAGGGCCAGGTTCGGGTACTACGTATGTGTTGGGAGGGCGGGTGGGAGTGAGCGATACGGCCTGTGGGCGGGAGGTCGTCTTGACCCCTCCCCTATCCTCTCTCCTGAGCCTTGCCGGGGCCGGTCGCGAGGTGTCAGGGCGTCCAAAACAGAATCGGCGAGGAATGCACAATCACTGGTTTTACTAAGGTTTTGGCTCCCATTTTGGCCTTATGGGGGGGCACCGTTAATTAAGACACTCCTCTGGTTTGATCGATATCCTCCAAGATGACCCAAAGAGCGTTCCCAAGGCTCCCAAGAGCGCTTCAAGAGGGCCCCGAGAGGCGCCCAGGAGGCCCCAGGAGGCGCCCAAGAGGCCTCCAAGAAGCTCCCAAGAGACCCCCAAGAGGCCCCAAGAAGCTCGCCGAGACACCCAAGACGCTCCAAGAGGCCTCAAGGACCGCCAGAAGGCCCCCAAAACGCTCCAGGAGGCCTCCACTGGGGAGACCCTTCCTCTGCGTGCTGCCCACTTCCCTGATCGAGGCAACTCCTCTGGGCGTCGTTTCTGGATGGGCTGGTGGGGGTACTTTTTTGTTCCCGAGCGCCACGGTCCAACCGCGCGCCGAAAGTAACAAGGCAGCCGAGCCAAACACTACATTAACCGCGAGCAACAGGAGCGAACTACGCTGCAGCTCGGGGAAAACTTTTATGGATGGAAAGCGGGCCGTTTTCAATCTGTGATTTTCGCCTTAACGCGTGCACTCGTCTTGACACATTGCCAGAGTTTCATGGATGGGGGACGGGTCGTTTTCCAATGTGCCTGTTGCATTCGCGCCGCGCGAATTTGCCTTCACAGCTTGCCAGAAACGTACGGCTGGAAGGCGGGCCGTTTCGAACTATGGCTCTCGCCTGAGCGCCGCGCACACTCGTGCTAACAAGTGACAGCCGTCTCACGGATGAAGGCGAAACCTTCGCAAATGCAATTATCGCGTGAGCGCCGCGCACACCCGTCTTGACAATTCACAGCAGTCTCAAGGACGCTTATGGTTAGCGTCCCAGAAACGGCGTTTCGGCACCACGTAGGACTGCCAAAGGTCGACAGCCACGTTGATCTGCAGTGTTGACGTTCCAGAAACGGTGTTCCGGTACGATTCAAGATTGTCAATTCGTGGCGTTGGAATCCTAGGAACGGTGCTTTGGCACTCTTGAACACTTGCAGACCCCAGTCTTCCAACGGGGCTTTTCCGGCAGTGGAAACAAATCTGAGAGAGCGCGCCCGCAGGGCCCGAGCAAAGGGGAGGGGGGGCTAGGCTTAAGCTACCCCCCCCCCTCCCTTGAGCCGCCCTTGTTGGAAGCACACCCCCCCCCCCTCCCCCCTTTTTTTGCAAGGGGGGGGGGGGGGCTTACAGCTACCCCCCCCCTCCCCCCTTGGGCCCTCCCCGGAAGCTACCCCCCCCTCCCACCCTTTCCAAAGGGGGGGGGGGTGCTTAAGCCACCCCCCCCTCCCTTGGCGCCGCCCTGCTGGAAGCTACCTCCCCCCCTCCCCCCCTTTCGTGCAAAGGGGGAGGGGGGCTTGGAAGCTACCCACCCCCCACCCCCCTTTGGCCGCCCCGGAAGCTACCCCCCCCTACCCCCGGGGGGGTGCTTAAGCTACCGCCCCCCTCCCTTGGAGCCGCCCTGCTGGAAGCTCCCACCCCCCTCCCCCCCTTTGTGCCAAAGGGGGGGGGGGCTTGGAAGCTTGCCCCCCCCCCTTGCCCCCTTTGGCCGCCCAGCCCCCGGAGCCTCCGCCCTCCCTTTCGCCGACGATCCAAAATGAACAATCCACGATCGAGGATGGACGATCGACGATCAACGATCGACGATCGAAAATCCCAATCGAATCGCTTGCAATCGATTGCACTCCATTCCACTGCAATCCCCCTCCCCACCTCCCTCCGCTCCCTCCCCTCCCTCCACACCCTTCGTTCCATCTACTCCCTCCACTCCCTCTCCTCCCCTCCCTCCCTTCCGTCCTGTCCCTCCCCTGCAATCCAATCGATTGAATCGATTGCAATTCAACCAATTGCAATCCAATCGATTGCAATCCAATGGATTGCAATCGAATCGTTTGCAATCCAATGGATTGCAATCGATTGCAACGCAAGTGTATCATTCAACTCGTTCCGTGCCAACGCCCGGGAACGAAAAATTACCCTGGCGACGTACCCAACCCCTGCGCAAACGCGGGGCGCAAATAGTTTAGGACACTTTATAAGGGGGGCGATGACGGAGCGAGGGTTACATATGTCTGCAGACGGAATTCGGGAGACTCGCAGGAAACTGGCTTCAGGACAAGGACTAGATAAAGCTGATTAGTTGCAATCCCTGAGCAACCCTGGCCACTTCGAAAGCGGGGATCTCAGATCGCAGCCCCCCAGGGATGGCGAGGTCTAATTTGGGTCCGCGCGTGGCGTCACTGTGCTGGGCCCCCCAGCAGGCCTCGAAAGTGGCGACAGTTTCACAGATCGCAGCCCCCCAGGGATGGCGAGGTCTAATTTTCGTCCGCGCGTGGCGTCACTGTGCTGGGCCCCCCAGCAGGCCTCGAAAGTGGCGACAGTTTCACAAATCGCAGCCCCCCAGGGATGGCGAGGTCTAATTTGGTCCGCCCGTGGCGTCACTGCGCTGGGCCCCCCAGCAGGCCTCGAAAATGGCGACAGTTTCACAGATCGCAGCCCCCTAGGGATGGCGAGGTCTAATTTGGGTCCGCCCGTGGCGTCACTGTGCTGGGACCCCAGCAGGCCTCGAAAGTGGCGACAATTTCACAGATCGCAGCTCCCCAGGGATGGCGAAGTCTAATTTGGGTCCGCCCGTGGCGTCACTGCGC